ATTGCTTGACTATTTCTCAATTCTATCAATTCCATAACTGGTACCATTCTAGATGCTAAAAACAGAAATTAATTCCTTACATACAATAGGTACCTACAGCATTTGGTCTTAATTCTCTCAGGAAACCCATTTTTAAAAAGGCTAAGACACAAATAGCAAAAGGTGAAAAATAGTTGCAACATATGTGAATAGGCATTTATATCCCTAATACACAAAGAGCTCTCAAACACTAATAAAAGATAATTATATCAATACACAAATAACTCACAGAAGCAATGCAGGAAAGAAAATATGGAAATTGCCAATAAACATGAAACTATTTTAACTCTCCCTAGCAACTGATTAAATGAAAACTTAAAAATAAGCAACAAGGCGACATCATTCTCAGTTAACAAATTGTCAAAAAGAATAAAGGTTGACAAGGATGTGCTGAAACCAACACTTAGGTACTTTTAGAGGCATACAAACTGGTACGTATAATCTTTCTGGAAGACAATCTGGTCCAAGGCCATAATCACATGAGACTGAAAATGTGTAATACAGAAGTTTTGATTCCGGAATTTTATAATAATACGAGTATATATAAGAAACTACAAACAACATGTATATTCATCCCTAGAGGCTTGTATACTCAGAATTCTTCAACGGACCTGCCAATAGCAAGGCAGGCCTATCTGTAAATAAGTAATAAGTAAAACAAGTACATTATGAGCAATATGGTATATAAACGGTGCCACCCACTAGGCCACACCATGTTTCTGTTGGGAGTGCTCAGACTAAGGCCATTCACAGCAGGTTCTCTCCTGGGAAGGACCTCTTAAGAGCCTCAAGACTCATAGTTTGCTCTTGGGAAAGTTTGCCCAAATGAAACTTCTCTATCAGAAACCACATATGTCAAAACATGCAGTTGACTTAAAAGTTAGGTTGAAAGAATGTTGAAGACTCTTACAGGCCAAGTGAATCAGAACTTATTTATTTTTTATAAGACATTGGAGAGACATTCTTTGATGATTGGATTTGCAAGGTCTGTAGGAAGTGGGAAAGACTGGAGCTAAGGGAATCAATGAACATAATTAGAAAATATGGGGCCAGAAAAAGCAAAGTGTCTACTGGAGTGGAAATGAGAAGAATAAATTCAAGAGATAGTTCTAGGACAGAATGAACAAAAGTTAATGACTTTTGTTCTTGAAATCAGCTAGACACAGCTGGGATGAAGACCTTTAATCATGATCTCAATGAATGAAGCCCGGTAAGTTCTCTCCTTCAACCATCTTCATCCACCAGCAGCAACAATTGCTTCCATCAGTACCACCCTCCCTCCAGTCACCTCCATGGAGATGTACGTGTATCTTCCAGTAGGTTCACCTCCCTAAATTCTCGCAGTTAATCACCCCAGTGAGTCTTCATCATGATCTCCCGTTGTTCAGTTCCCAACCTCAGAGCTGCCCCTCGACATATTTCTACTTTAGCCTTAAAAGGAAAGGAAGTCGCCTAGTTTTCTCTGTGTTTCACGAGGGCGGCAGTCTGGGGAATTACCTTATCAGCACTTATTTGACCTTAGTTCCAGGACTTTGGTGGCTCAAGGCTGAGGGGAAGCATGGATGGGGGTGGGGGACAGGACAGATGACCAGCGGGGTTTGGGTGCAAGGTGGGGTACCAGTCTTCAGACTGATGGGGTCGAGCAAAAGAACCACCTGTAGAGGGCTGAGTGGGAAGGGCATGATTGTAGGGGTGAGGAAAACAGGTCACTGGTGGAGATGGTGTTGAGTAGGAGTAGGGACAAGCAGGGGACTCGGGCACGAAACCAGAGAAGGTGGCAGGAGATAGATGGGTCAGTGGCTGGAGCAGTGACCGCTCTTGCTTCCTCTGCTTAGCTCTGCGGTTTTGGAACCAGACCTGAGGAGTAAAGAGAATAGCCACATCAGATCCCCTCTCTTAAATAGGGGGCACTGTCACATGTGGCCCCTCTACTCCAATGACAGAAGGTACAGGTACAAGGCATAAGTCTCTCCCACATCATCAGAGGAAGTAAAGCTCTCCAGAATGCATGTCTGAGCCAGGCCTACTGACAAAGCGAGATCCATACCAACACCCTCAACTTGGGTGTTGGAATTCACATCACTACTAAGGTTGGGGTAGGTGTTGAAATTTAAGTTAGATTAGGTTAGAGCTAGGGTTAAACTCAAATGACATTCCCAGGGTGGATGGGGTTATGTTGACTGACAGATGAGGCTATGTTCCGGTGAATGTCAGGTTGGGGTTATAATACCTGTGAGAATTTGTGTCCCATTAGTTCCTGAGCCCCCAAACCGCCCTTCTTCCCAGAGGAAGGGGGGATCCTGGGGCATCACCTGGATTCTGGCCTCGCTGAGACCTGTGTCCTGGGCAAGGCCCTCTCGGGCCCAAATGTCAGGATACTGGTTTCTCCCAAAGGCTGACTCCAGCTGTTCCAGCTGTGCTGGACTGAAGGTGGTGCGGTGGCGGCGCCGGGAATGTGGGTGACCCCTCTGTCCTCCTTGAGGGGAAAGCCTTGGTCTCCCCACTCCTACACCGGAGAGGTTCCTGTAGGGCTGAGTGCTCATGTCTGAGGATGGAGGCGAAGGGAGAGGTTGCTACCGAGCGGACCCACCCATCCACCCCCTGGCCACATATGCTGGTTGCCCCCTGTGCTGCTCATACACTTTGCCCTGACCAGAAATCCTTCAGCCTTCAGAACTAGCTGAAGACAGTGCTGCTTCCCCTCTGAGTCTCCTAACCCAGGCTGCGCTCTCCACACAGGCTACACCTCTCAGACTCACCTCACCTCGTGGGCACTCACGCTCTGTCAGCCTCACCTGCCCAGTGCATGCCCACCCCTCTTCCACTCCCCCAGCCACATCCCCATGTAACACGCCCCTCTATGTGCCTTTCGCCTCTCTGAGCACACATGCTACCCTCCTGGGTCTCACCCTGTGGATCTCCCATTTCCTCTGACACCCTACCAAACTGTCTAGGTCTCTGACTAAGATTCCTTCCCCCTCTCAGACTCACATTCACCTTAAACCTTCTTTATACTGCTCCCATCCTCCTGCACCTCTCACCTGGGAGGATGAAACATTTCCCCCTCTTCCGCTCAGACACACCCTACCCTCACTTACATGTCATTTTCTCCCTTATTCCAGCCCAGCCCGGCCAGTAGGCTGCAGGAACCTGAGCTCGTGGGAAAGGCTTGTCTGTCCTTCCCACAGGCTCACTAAGGCCCCACACTAATTAGTCTGAGAGCCAGCTGGGGAAGAGAGAACAGGGAGCAAAAAGAAACACCTGGAAGGCACACACTGAGAAAAGGAGATGTCTGGAGCTGAGGCCCCCATCCCCATGGGGACCCGGGGTGTGGCCCCACCCAGTGCTCACTGTCTACCTTGGGAACACAGATGCGTTGAACCACTGGTCCCCTGTTTTCCTCAGAGTGGCCCCTCCAGCTCCCTCCTCAAAGAAGGCAGTGCAGTGGGCAAACTCAGAGGTCAGGAGTGAGGAGCTGATTTCAGCTTTGCCTCTGCCCCACCACGATGAAGCTGTTCAGCAGCTCATCCATGCCAGGGCCTCTCAGTCCCCCAGTCTGTAAAGTGAAGGAGTTGCCTCAGGCTTTCTAAGGTTCCCATGGTTTTAACATCCTAGAATTCTGGTTTTTATTTCTCATCTTCACCTTCCTTCTGGCACCCAGTGCCCCACATGGAGCCTAGGCATGGAGCCCCCACACCTGCTGCCTCCTTAGGATCACCCCAGAGATGCACTCACCCGCCGTGGAGGTCTGAGTCCCAGCGGCTGGGCAGCTCTCGGGCCAGAGGCTGCTGCAAACTAGCCCCTTTTTTTGCTGACCCTGCTCAGCCCTCCCCTCTGCTTCCATGTCTAACAACAAACACAGTCCAGTCTCCCGTGCCCCTGAGTCTCTAATTCTGGGTCAGTTATCTTTTCCTGCTGTTCCCGTATATGCCTGCTATCTCGCTCCTTCTCCCTCTGTTTATACCTCTCCGAGTCTCTCTGTCTGTGTAGAAATAGATATAGATATCTTTGTCTTTTTTACTCTCTCCTTTTTTCTAATTCCTTGTTTCTTCATTGAGTATCATCTCTTTCTCTCTGTCTTGCCCTCACCCTGTTTCTCTGTTTTTGTCTCTACTTTCCTTTCCCTGCCCTTCGCTCCGGTATGCCGTGCTCGCTCCTTTGCTCTCAGCTGCCTACTTTCCCAGCTTGCAATCCCACACCACCTTTCTCCCTGAGTCTTGAAGGAGTGACCTCCTCCTAGCCCTGTGGACCCATCCAATCACTGCCTGGTCACCAGAGCCCCATCGTCAGGGGAGGATCACAAGCCGGATGAGGGAAGGTGCCCTGTTGGAGGGTCCGGGGACTGGGGCCAAGAGCTCATATTCCCAGAGGACCAAATTCTTTTGTCCTGTTAAATCCCCTCCTGGGAGCAGGCAGGGGAAGGAGGATAAAATGCATTCCTCCTAAGACCCCCTCCTCAGAACCCCACCAAGGGGGTGGGGGGTGCAAATGGGGCCAGGAGCAGGGCCTGCCTGGCATCTCAGCCTGTGGGTTACACTCACAGGTGTTTTGCCTATTGCCAAAAACTAAAAAAACTGAAAGACACAAGCATATTCTGGCCCCTCCTGGATACCCTGATTTTCACAGTACACTAGATTCCTTCTCAGATCAACCTGAACTGTAGGATGAGTTTCCAGGACACTATGGTTCAAATACTCACTGATTTTTCCCCCCAAATGTCACCTCCTCATTCACCAGAACCCCCAGGACTCCATGACCTTCCAAGGTTGCCCAGACCTTCAGAAAACGCTGACCCTCAAGAGCATCTGAATTCCAGGTGCATCTTGACCCCCATGAACCTCAGGACTCTGCAGGAGACTGAGAATCCCATGACATCCTGACATTCTGAATATTCAAGGAAACCCTGACACACCAGAATCCCTGAGCAGTCAGGACACCCTTACACCCACATCACCCTGCTTCTTACCTAGACCCAGGAAGTATATTCTGACATTCCTAGAACATTCTGATACTTTAGAGACCACCTGATATCCCAGGACTCAGATCCTCCAGGACCCACTGAAACCCAGAACATTCCACCTGTACTAGAAAATCCTCCTGCCCCCACCATGAAATTCTAAGCTCTCAGGGCACACTGACCCAATGAGGACACCCCAAACCCCTTGGAACACATGGTACCCATAGAACAGCCTGATCCCCAAGGTCATGCTAACCTTTCACACATTTACTTTAAAAGCACCCTGACAATTCAAAACAGAAAATCATTATAATCCTTTAGGGTCTTGACACTTCCAATACAGTCCCTGGATCAAAAGCATCAGCAACATATTAGAGCTTGTCAGAAATGCAGGATCTTGGCCCTACCTCAGTCCTACTGAATCGAAATCTGCATTGCAGCAGGATCCCCAGGAGAACTGAATGTACACTTGTCTTTGGCAGCTCAGGCTGCCATAAAAAATCCCAAAGTCTGAGTTGCTTAAACAATAGACACTTATTTCTCACAGTTCTGGAGGCTGGGAAGTCAAAGAGCAAGGTGCCAACTGATTCAGTTCCTGGTGAGAGCTCTTTTCCTGGGCTGCCAACAGCCATCTTCTATGTCTTCACAAGGCAGACAGTGATCCAGCTCTGGTGTCCCTTACTTTTCCACACGCTAGCCCCCCCCCCACATGATCTCATCTAACCCTAGTCACCTCCCAAAGGCCCCACCAGGAAATGCTATCACATTGGGGTTTGGGTTTCCACTTAGGAACTGGGAGAAGACACATTCAGTCCATAACAACATTAAAGATGAGAAGCACTGATCCAAGACACCAGTGCCTCTCCCTTACCCCAAATATACTGGGACCTCCTAGAGCAGCGGTTGTCAACCTTCCTAATGCCCTTAATACAGTTCCTCATGTTGTGGTGACCCCCAACCATAAAATTATTTTCGTTGCTACTCTATAACTGTAATTTTGCTACTGTTATGAATTGTAATGTAAATATCTTTTTGTTTTCCAATGGTCTTAGGAGACCCCTGTGAAAGGGTCGTTCAACCCCCAAAGGAGTCACGACCCACAGGTTGAGAATCGCTGTCCTAGAGCAACCTGAGCCTCATGACAGCTATGACTTCCCAAGACCCAGTAACATGTAGTCAACTTGGACCCACAAGCAAACATTGAGTTCCAGTACACCCTGCTACCTCAAGATACCCTAACCCTACAAGGGAACTCTGACCAGCCATCCAGGACAGTCTAATTTCCTAGGACACTTTGATATATTGGGTTGTCGGAAAAGTCATGACGCATTTTTGCAGCAAAAAACATAGAAAAAAATACGTCATGACTTATCCGACAACCCAATATTACAAAGAAACTCTGACTCACTACCCTGCTCCCTGAGGACATTGAAATACTATAACTTTGACTTGACATCGCAGAATACCATGATCCCTTGGGATGCTGGGAAATTTAGAGGCATTTGTTCTTCCAGAGCAGCCTGATTCCCACCCCAACCCCAACCTTCAAGGAAGCCTGACACCCAGGAATCCCTCATTCTGTAAGAAGTAGAATAGTGTGGTAGAGAAGAGCATAGGTTCTGGAGCTATACTACCAGGGGTTCAAATCCCAGCTATTCCACATACTAGTTATGTGATCCTGAGCTTATTACTTAATATCTCTGTGCCTCAGCTTTATCACCTGGGGAAATTAATACAGTTGATTCTGTTTATTTGAGGTGGTTAGTTATGTTGCATAAAGTCATAGGAACACCAGACAGCACTTCAGTGTTTATGCATTTCAAACAGCAAAATTACCCACCTCCACAAAAGCACAAAAGTGTGCAAACTAGTGGCACTAAGTAGAATGCAAAAAGACCCCTGTATACAATATGAGAGTTGAAACAAGAAGGCAGAGCAGTTGCCTTGTTTGACCTCAGCTAGGAATGCAGCAACTCAAGTGTTTCATGCCTCTGTGTATGCGCATGGCTGCAGATATTCACGGATGCGCCAAAGAGTATTGCATGGAATTAGGGTTACAAATACATTTGAGTATCTGAATTCGCAAATATGGAACCCATAAATAATGAGGATTGACTCTACCTATCTGATGCAGTTGTAATGATTGAGATTTTTATCTTTCCTTTTGTTAATGTGGTGTATCACATTGATTAATTCATGTATGTTGAATCAACCTTGTGTCCCTAGAGTAAATGCCACTTGCTTATGATGTATTTATTATCTTTTTCATATGTTGTTGTATTTGATTTGCTAGTATTTTGTTTAGGATTTTTGCATCTATGTTCACCAGACATATTGGCCTGTAATTTTCTTTTTGTATGTTGACACTGCCTTGTATTTGTATCAGGATATCTAGGCCTCATAAAATGAGTTAGGAAATATTCCCTCCTCTTGAAGAATTTAAAGGTTGGTATTAAGTCTTTGAATGTTTAGTAGAACTCACCAGTGAAGCATTCTGGTCTTGGACTTTTTTTGAGGAGGAGGCAGTGGGGAGGGTTTTGATGACTGTTTCAATTTCCTTACTATAGATCAGTCTATTTAGGTCTTCCAGTTCTTCATGGTTCAGTCTAGAAAGATTATATATTTCTAAGAATGTGTCCATTTCTTCTAGGTTATTGAATTTGGCGGCATATAGCCTTTCATAGTATTCTTGTGTAATCTTTTGTATTTCTGTAGTGTCCATTGTAACGTCTCCTCTTTCATTTCTGATTTTATTTATTTGAATCTCTTCTCTTTTTTCCTTAGTGAGTCTAGCCAGAGGTTTGTCCATTTTATTCACCTTTTCAAGAAACCATCTCTTTGTTCCATTATTTTTTCTATTGTCTTTTGTTCTCTATTTTATTTATTTCCATTCTAATTCTTATTATTTCTTTCTTTCTACTGACTTTGGGTTTTGTGTGTTCTTTTTTCTAGTTCTTTGAGGTATAATGTTAGATTGTTTATTTGAGGTTTTTCTTGTTTCACTGGCCCTCATACGTGGGATCCGAACCGGGGCCCTCTGGCGTCCCAAGCCAGTTCTTAACTATCGCGTCACTCGGCCGGCACTCTGCTACATATTTTAATGAACTTCTTTATCTATCAAATTATGGGAAGTGTGTATTAAAGTATACCATTAAGATATTGATATAATTAACTTCTTTAAAAATTTTTATGAGCCTTATGCAAACTATTGTTACATTGTTTTGTTTGATGTTTAATAACTGTTATTAAGTTCTATGAACTTTTCCTTTATTATCATAAAATATTCCCCTTTTGGGATTTATGCTTATGTTTAGCTTAATTACGGCTTTATTTGTAATTAGTAGTGCTACCCTTGCTCTCTAATTTTTGCCTTTACTTAGTACATCTTTGCCCAATTTCATATTTGTGGTTTTTTTACTTTTCTTAAAATGTGGGTTTTTAAAATTCACCTTTTAACAATTTTGTTTTGTATATGACACAAAAATAGGCACTTATAAATACGCACCCAACTTCCAACAGCCAGCCACAGATACGAAGTATTTAGATGACCACATACACACCCCAAACCCAGTATTTCCCTAGCACTGTCCATAGGCCGTCATCTCTAGGTGGTGCTTCTGGGTTCCCATGTCAGGGACATGGTAACTATTACAGAAATTAAAACACAGAGTTGAGGTTCAGCTTTTAGTCATTCCTTTCTTAGTATAAACTAACTTCACACCTTGTATTTGAAAGAAGAAAAGAATGCAGGGTCCTGAAGACTTAAGGTTTATACAAAAGGGAGTCAGTGCAGGAACAAAGTATACAGAATGAAGCTGCTATGAATCTCTGTGAGCCAATTTCACTGGCTTCACAATTTTTCTTCAGGTCAATTCAGGCCACAGAGCAGGGGATCAGGCATGTTCTGTCTGTGACATGAGCATGTCACAGTGGGGAGTGGGGAGCAACTAGTCTGAGCACGAAGTTGAGTTCCCCTCACACTGAGATATCTGTGTCCAGAGAGAATAGGAATAAAAAATAGTTAGTACATGAGCCTCTAATGAGAAGCTGTGGGGGATCAACCCTAGGGATGCTCAGACTTGGCAGCTATTGCTGCTCTGATCCCCATGAGAGTCCCAATCTCCAGAGATGGAAGAGATACTTATTTCCTCCCAATCAACCAAGCAAGACCCAGGAGAGCCACAGTATCTAACTCTAAATGTTCTCCTCCAGTGAGAAAAGGTTTCTCAATCTTCAGCCTTAGCTGAGACGTTCCCATCATCGAGGGTCAAGCAAGGAGCCAGTGGAGAGGGGGGTTCCACGAGAGCATCTGACAGCAGCAGAGAGCAGTCAGGTAAGAAGAACTGAAAAAGCAGGGAATGGCATGGTTACCTCCAACAATATACAGAGTCACATGGACACACACACATAGATTTACATTTGGAAAAACAAGTACACTAAATCCCTTTATGTCTAACCAAGTTCAAAAGGGGAACATCTCTTGGTTTGCCAGATACAAGCTTTTTTCCTGTCAGGATGTGGTATCCATTGCAGAACAGAGCAAGCACATTTCTGAGATGAAACAGAAAAGTAAGCAGTGGGAAAGAAAGGCGATAAGTAAGGTTAGTGGTGCTAGGATCAGCGGCGTCAGGCTCCTAAAAATCCTGCCCAGAAACACAGAGCATAGAGCCACCCTGCCTTCCCACAAAAGAAACTCTTTGGTCAAACATTCAAGAGCCTTCCATTCTGTCTCTCATCTCTACCTTTTTGCCAGTTGCTTCATATGTTCATCCACTGTGATCTGTGACCACATAATAAAGATGTTTCAAAGGAGACTACATGCATGCCACAGGGAGCCCCACTGAGGGCAGTTGGCTGGGCCTGGGGTCCAGGCATCAAGCAGCCTCAGTTTTAATGTCCAGGAACACAAATGCTCAATACTGCAGATATGTCAGAGACAGTCACACACCAACAAGACTCACAGAGACTAAAGCATGAAATCAGACGTCAGCATATTTAAGTTATATAGAATAATGTTATTGCCAAGGGGACTGGTAGGAGCATTCTCTCCCTAGAAGGAAGATACTTGGGAAGTTAAATTAAAATTTAGAGGTGTTTGGTGATTATCCAATCAGAATAAAAGGAATTTAGTATGTGACCTATTCACTATGGAAACTCAACTTGTTGGGGTTTAAACCATGAAATGATAGTA